TTCAAAATATAATAAAGTAGATAAAAAATGTAACTACTGGTTTAACCTTTTTTTTTAAAAAAAATGATTGGCTTGATTGGAAAAAATTAGAATACACCCTGTTAAAGGTGAGATTCGATCTCGAGACGCCTGCCTCATACATACGCTTACTTAACCAACGTACCGATTATAACTTTGATGCGTTTTAGACGTTCATTTATATACATTGAAATTCTAAATGAGGGCTGTATACATATCTACCTTGGGATTGTTTAATCGATACCCCCAAAATTTCGCTTTTGGAGTTGATCCGCCCATGGTCTTTTGGCGCTCCATCTTCAAAATTTCAACAGGTTTCTCGCTTCTTCCTCTTCTTCTTTTTCCATAATCGTAATCTTAACTTTCGTTTATCCTACTCTTCATCGTTTTGCCTATAATCATAAGCCTAATATGATGGCTCCAGTCGGAAGAAAAAATTGCATTAGAACTTTACCTTTGGATATACTAGGCAACCTTCCTGATGATGTTATTGATCATATTCTTATACGGATGCCTTTACAAGATGCTGTTAGAACGAGCATCTTATCAAGGAAATGGAGATATACTTGGTGTAGAATTCCACAACTAACTCTTGATCGAACCCTTTGGAAAATGCACCAACCTGCTTACTTTGAAACTATAATCTGCCATATTTTGAACCATCATCGAGGACCTGTTAAACACTTTACCCTCTTAATTTCGTATTCGGAGCAATTTTCTTATTTTTACAGCTGTTAGGGTTTCTCATTGAAAATGGTATTGAACATCTCAATATTAAATTTCCGTATAGGACGACACCATACAAATTGCCTGCTTTATTTTTCAAATGTGTGCTTTTGAGGCACCTATCTCTTGAAGATTGTTCAATAAACCATCCGACAGCCTACACAGGATTTGATAGGTTACTTTGCCTTAAGCTATACAATGTTACAATCGAGTACACATTGTTTGGAACCTTAATCTCTCAGTGCCCGTTGCTCGAGCAATTGGTGCTTTTGCTCTCAGATAATCAGTCTGGTGTCATTTTTATTGATGCCCCCAAATTGAAGTCCCTTGACTTCACATGCAGAGTATGGGCTATCAGTTTAAGAAATGTTCCTCTTCTGGCACAAGTATCGTTTGCTTTTAGGGGAGTCTTAGTCCTGGAAGCAATACCTGACTATACTAGGGTTCTTGAGTCTTTATCTACGGTGGAGCATCTCCATTTGGATAACCATAGCATCAAGGTAATGTGCTTCATAACTTCAGTCTAGTGCTTTTTCATAGATGGATTATATTGTGGTCTATGTGCCATCATTTTTATTTGGGATGTTCTTTCTAGTTAATGGCTGCAGGTGCAGGAGATGTACCGACTAATCTCCCCTTTCTTGTTGGCTGTGTCAAAAATCTTTACCTTTCTGGTCTTTATCTTGGTGAATTGTATTACGTTGCCTGTGCTTTGTCTTTGATGAAAAGCTTCCCATGTTTAGAACATATGGAAATCAAGGTTACTCTATTACTTAATCATTTGGTTATATTCTTACGTTCTCATTCCATAGTGACTTCTTAGGTGCTGAAATCATTTGGTATTTTTTTTAATTATTTCGTAGGTGGAATCTTGTTGTGTACCTATGGCACGTGATAACATTGATTTGGAAGCAAGTTTTGTAGAAACAACATTCATCAACCTCAGAAAAATTGTGATTAGGAGGCTTCGAGGGATAAGTCCTCACATGCAACTATTGAAGCTTCTTGTGGCAAAGTCTCCGGCTCTTGCGAAAATCACAATCGAGGCATTGACGAATGTAGATTATGAAGTTCTCAGATCAGCAATTGAGAATTCTGAATTTAGGTGTGCATCACCTGTTGCTGAATTTGTATTGAAATATTAATACAATTGTGCATTTTAAACAATTCTGGTAAATTGCATTTTTGGACAAATTCTGGTACATGGCATGGTTTAATTGCGTGTTTTGACAATCCTGCTATGCCATGTTTTGACAATTATGTTACATGGCGTGTTTTGACAATCATGCTATGCCATGTTTTGACAATTATGTTTGTTGGCTAGTTTTAATTTTCTTATGTTTCGTGATGTGAATCTTTCATAATGCCATGTGTGTTTGTTAAAATGACTGCTTAATGCTTCAGCTTGAAGTCACTAAGCATGGTATTTGTTAAAGTGTCATTAATGCTTAAGCTTGAAGCTTAAAAGAGAAATATCTATGTGCTCTAATTGTGCTTCTGAAGATGAGTTGATCCTTGTATTCTTTAATTCAATATTTATGTACAAAAAAATAAGTACATATTATATTCTTTAATTCAATATCAAATTCTAGAAATATTTAATAGTCCATACCCAACCACTATATATAATAGTCCATACCCAACCACTATATATAATAGTCCATACCCAACCAGACACAACTTTTAAACCCTAACTCTTACCAAAATCCTTGAACCAAACGATCCCCATCCGACGAAGATATGAATCCATCTTTTGAAGTTCTGATGAAGGATTCATACATATCGCAAGATTATATGGTAAATGAGCTCTTTTTTCATTTAAAATTCTATTTTTTTAAATGCTTGTGATTTTCGACTTGGTTTTGCAAAAGAATCAGAAACGAAATAGGTGATGTTTTGATTTGGTTTTTGAAGAGGGGCACATCTGGTTTCAACAAAAAAATTGAGTTTCAACCAAATCCAGTTTGAAACAAACAGATCTGGTTGTAATAAAATATCAAACAAACTGTTTTTTTAATTTTTTTTTTATTAATCTCTCAACCAACCAAGTATACATAAAAAAATTGAGTTTCAACAAATCTAGTTTGAAACAAACAGATCTGGTTGTAATAAAATATCAAACAAACTGTTTTTTTAATTTTTTTTTATTAATCTCTCAACCAACCAAGTATACATAAAAATTTGAGTTTCAACCAAATTCAGTTTGAAACAAACAGATCTGGTTGTAATAAAATATCAAACAAACAGTTTTTTTAATTTTTTTTTATTAATCTCTCAGCCAACCAAGCATACATATTGCATTATTTCAATTTTTTTTCTTTTTCTTTGCAGCATATTCCAAAATATTTTTACGAACACCTTCCTGAATCACATAGCACAACGGTTCTTCACTATGATGGCGAGCCTTGGTTTATGGAAATTAACATGGGTAAGCAGAGATGGTTCAAAGACGGTTGGAAATATTTTGTGATGAATAATAACATCAAGCGGGGTTGGTTAATCAACTTTGAGTTGGTCGAAATTACAGAATTCTGTGTTATCTTCCAATTGCAAGTGACAGGCCGAGGAACTCTCCAAGATCCCGTTGAAATTAACTAGTTATGTTTTGTCTTCCCAGTTTGTGTTGTTTTTAACTTTTGTTAGCTTTTTTTTAATGTAATATGTACTTTTATTTTCCAATTTGGTTATTATGTAATGTGTATTTTGATTTCGGACTCTTTTGATTTTCCAGTTATCAAATTGATATATCACTTGGTATCATTTCATTACCCTAACTACAAACCCTAACTATATAGTTGGAATGTGAATAGTTTTTAGTTCAAAAAAGGATTGGTAACCGAAATAATAAATGCAAGTCAACTAACACCAAATTTCCCCTGAAATAAATGCAATTCAACTAACATCATTAATTACGACAATTCAAACAAAACCAGATATAGTGGCCAAAAATAGGTTATTTTTTTCACTGATAGAAAATCAGGATGTTTGATACTGGCTTGGCCCCTATAAATATGGTCACATACTCAAACACTAAAGACCTAAAACACTCACATACTCAAACCTAAACTATGGATGCCTCTCCCTCAACCAAACGAGCCCTAGTTTACTCTCATACTAGCAGTGACGACATATCTTACTCTTCTACTTCCAGTGATATTGAAGAAGAGATTCCTCCAACTTTTGAAGTGATTATGACTGATTCATGCATTGACAACGACGATCTGGTTATGCATCAATATTATTGTATATAATTTTTGGATTGTGTTTAAGCTTTATATTTTCCAAAAACTTAATAGTATTGTTTCTTTTTCTTTCTTATTTCAGTATATTCCAAGAAAAATATGCAAGCATCTTCCTCCAACATTAGAACGCGCGATTTTCACCATCGTGGCAAAGAGTGGATTGTTAATATGAGCGTTGGTGATAAAAAAAGGTTCAAGGTAGGCTGGAGACTTTTTGTATTGGAGAATTTTATCAGGCGAGGTTTCGTCGTCAAATTTATGTTGGTTGATATTTCACCACTGCGTGCTATCTTCAATGTGGACGTGAAGGGAGACGGATATCCTATTTGTACTAATCCATTTTTTACTTGGTACTAGGATGTGTTTGTGTTAACTTCAAACCTTTAGTTATGTTCGTTGTACTTTTCTATGCTGAAATGTTATTTCAATCTTCATATTACATTCAATTTTTGAAAAAAATTATTTATCATTCAAAAAATTAAATTACTAGAATAATTAAAATTATTTAATAATTAATCATTAAATGCACCATGGATTTATTATCTTTAATATTTTATTGTGGATTTAGTTGTGCTACTTGTGCTTTTGATTTGCTATAACCGTTTTGATACGTTTGAAATCAATTTCAAAGATTATTTTTGTTACAACATATTTCAAACCCGGATCTTGGACTTAAAATTCAACCTAATTCTACCTAGACACTACTAAAACGGTTGGGAATAATAAATGCTTCATAGTAACTAAATGTGAGTATTTTAGTTCTTAGTTTGAACTGATTATAATGTTATGAAGTCTTTCACTTCTAATCACATTTTGTTAGTGTAGTCCGATAAAATGAAGTAACAATAAAATGAAGAAATATTTAACAATGATAATTATCATATCACACGTTTAAATTATTACAAAACAACGTCAAAAAATTCAAAAAAATCTATATCAAATCAAATTAAATAAGATTCAAACTTAAATCATCTCAAACTAAACGGTCAAGTCTTCTATCTCCCAGTCTGCTTCATCGTTAAGATCAGGCAAGCTACTGTGTGCTTGTAATGTTGCATCATCTTGCTGTATAGAGTAAATAACACTAATAAGCAATGTATTTTTCGGAAAAAAATATAATAATAATTTGTTATACTTTACCTCAATTCCTTCCGCTAGCCCAGTATTTCCACCACCTCTACCACCACCTCTACCACGGCCTCTACCACGGCCTCCACCACCACCTCTACCATCACTTCTACCACCACCTCTGCCAACACCTCTAGCACCACCTCTACCACCACCTCTACCCCTCCTATTATCTCTAACTCCACTTCCACCAGCCGTTTGTGAACTTCTAAAGTATGAATCAATTCACCCTCTATATCTATTCAACCTTGGACGTCCACGAGAAGCTACGTATCTAGGATCTCTTATATATCTTCCTTCACCATCACCCTCACCCTCACCCTCACCTTCACCCCCACCCTCACCCACACCATCATGTGTATCTTCAAATTCCCAATCTGGAATTATCATCTGATCATCATCCCAATTCAAAAGGTCATGCTCCAATCTGTTCAAATGATACTTAATATATCGCCTCATCACTTCAGTGTCCAATGCTATATCACAAACCCGTTCAAAATGCTTTAATAGTTCCCTGTACATCATGTATTCAGAAGTCATACGTGGGTAACCTCCAAGAAAGAAACGTTTCAAGTGCGGACGAACAACATCTTTTCTCCACCTTCTCAATATATACCTCTCATTAACGTTATTAATCCTCTTATGAGACAACACCTTAAGTATATGGCAGCATAGAATACCTCTTGTTTCAAACCACNAAGGCTTAAGTTGGAAAGGTCAAATGGACGTTGACTTATGAGTTAGAAGGCTCGGATGTGATTTCCGGTGATTCGGTTAGCTTCGGGGGATGATTTTTGACTTGGGAGTGCAATCAGAATTGATTTTGGAGGCCCGATGTAGAATTAGGCTTGAATCGGCGAGGTTAATATTTTGGAGAATTCCGGTGGATGGGTGAGAATTTGATCCGGGGGTCGGAATGGAATTCCGAGAGTTGCTGTAGCTTCGTTAAGTGATTTTGGATATGTGTGCAAATTTTCAGGTCATTCGGACATCGTTTGGTCGGGTTTTTGATCGAAAGTGCATTTCGGAAGTTCTTGAAGAACTTAGGCTTGAATCCGATGTGAATTGATGATTTTAGTGTTGTTAGGTGTGTTTTGATGATTGGAGCAAGTTCGTATGATGTATTGGGATATGTTGGTGCCTTTGGCTGAGGTCCCGGGGGCCTCGGGGTGGTTTCGCATGGTTAACGGGATGAAATTTGGAGTTTAAAGGCTGCTGAAGGATCTGGTACCTGGTATTTCCGCTTCTGCGGAAATGGACCGCAGAAGTGGTCACGCAGAAGCGAGAGGGGGCCCGCATAAGCGAAAATGGGCCTGGGAGATTTTTCTGCAAAAGCGGACCAGCGGACCGTAGAAGTGGACCCGCTTACGCGATTGGTTGACCGCAAAAGCGGTCTTGGGGAAAAGTTGAGGAACCGCAGAAGCGGATAAGTAACGGCAAAAGCGGTATCGCAGAAGCGACAAAAGGACCGCAAAAGCGGAAAGAACTGTTCAGAAGGGGGTTTTTATTATAATATTTCATCCGCGAGGGTTATGTATTTTCCACCATTTTGAGCGAGCTTTGAGAGCTTTGAGGCGAGTTTGAAGAGGGATTCAAGGAGGAATGATTAGAGGTAAGTTCCTTGGCCTAAATACTCGAGATTTTGTTAAATTTAACATGGAAATTGGTTGGAATTCATTAAAAGTGGTAAAGCTAGGGCTTGAGTTTTTGATATTTCAAATTGGGATTTGATAGGTCATTTGAGCTCGGATTTGGGAGTTCTTGGTATGTATGGACTCGTGGAGAGACGAGGAATCTGGTAATGTGAAGTTTGTAATTTTTCGAGAAGTGGGCTCGGGGCTCGAGTTTTGCTAGTTTCGAGATTTTTGCTAATTTTCGATTGCTTTCGATTGGGTATTGTTCCATTGGCTTATTGTGATGTATTCGCTCTGATTTTGGTTAGATTCGACGCGCGTGGAGGCCGATTTGAGGGGCAAAGGCATCGCGAGCTAGAGATTTCACCGGTTCGAGGTGAGTAATACTTGTAAATGATATCCTGAGGGTTTGAAACCCCGGTGTATCACACTGTGACGCTATATTGAGGCGAGACACGCACTCCATGATGAGTGCGGGGTCGATTGTGAGTAGGGATTGTGGCTTAGTCCGCCCCGAACGGTGTCCAAGCTGTGCTTTGGACTATAGATTGATTTGTAAACATCCTACTTGGATTGTTATGATATATTTGGGCTGTGTGCCGACTATTTGAATCCCTTGGGGATTATTATCACAGCTTCCATGATATTCAGCATGCTATATGATTTCAGCCCTGAGTTTTAAGCACTGTTTCGAAATACTTAGTCACCTTCCAAAGGTTTTAAAGACTTAAACGATAATTTCCTAATAATTGGAACTGAGAATTAAAATCTGACTTTGCTGTATAATTCACATGCATATTCTGGACTGAGTGTGGATCGGGCTGCACGCCGCAGCGATGTCACGATGATATTGCGCTTGGGCTGTAGGAGCCCCTCCGGAGTCTGAACCCCCACAGTGAGTGCGGGTACCCAAACGGATCGGGCTGCGCGCCGCAGCGATCATGTGCATTGCATTGCATTCATGCATTGGTTCCTGTTTGTACTACGTGTCATGACATTCAACACTCTCATATCATTGGCATCCATGCTACTTCTTGCACTGTTTACCAGATACCCTGGTGTTATTTGTTGATGGAGTGTTGTGCCCGAGGGGCTGACTTATGTGCGGACTTGCACTATCTGATTACGCATTCATTTGCTTGACTGTTGGAAAAAGGATATTTTCAAAAGAGGTTTTTAACTGAGCCAGATATTTTCTAAAGGATTTTTCATGGTTTTACTGTTTTCTCAAAGGGTTGTACTGTCCCATATAGCCTGACGGAGTGCTCTTACGTGATTTCTTGCCACTCAGTTATCATTTACTCTTATTACTCACTGAGTTGGAATTACTCACTTTACTCCCTGCAGCTCGCGTGCAGTTGCAGGTATCGTTCACCCGGTAGCGGGTTATTAGCGGATAGAAGGTATTGTTATTGTAGCTGAGCAAGGTGACCGCCAGCGTTCGCGGCACCGGATGTTGTCTTTTGTTTTCCAGAAATTTTACTTGTATATATTTTTTTTGGCCTGTAGTTGTGTTAAGGTTTCCTTAGATGCTCGTGACTTGTGACGCCCCGGTGGGGTTGTGTTGGGTTGTAATTAATAGTTTTTTTATGCCATTAAGTTGTACTTTCTATTCATTTACGTTTAATAATTGTTAAAGAGAGGATTTGGGTTAGTTGGCTGGCCTTGTCTTCACGAGAGGCGCCATCACGACGGGGTATGGAAATTGGGTCGTGACAAGTTGGTATCAGAGCCTTGGTTACT